GGAATGCAACTTAAACAATATTAATTTGTATTTATATTTATAATTATATTTATATAAAAGAAAATTACAGATTTCAAGCTATATATTATTTTAAATAAGGGCTCACTTTATTCTTTCTCATGCAGCTGTGCCACCAGGCAGTAAAGAACCCAAGATTCAGGTGATGAGAAAAAACAAGAGAGAGGCCTGACTCTATATACTAAGCCCTTTACTGCATGAAGTAGGTCTTGTTTTAGGGAAGAAAAAACAAAGTAAATTGTATTTTGATGGCCACTGCCATCACCACTTACAAGGACATTTGCAAATTAAGGTTCATAGACCTACCTGATGAAAGCACGCTGCTTCATTAAAGGAGTAAATGACATCTTTCATAGAAATCACATCTCCTCAAAACTCCATGCTTCATGACCTTAAGAATGGCAAAATGGCAATGACAATTACACTGCTTCTTGAAAGACATACAACCATATACTGAACTACAACTAAAGACTTAGCAAAGCCCTATAAATACAAGAAAAGTCTCTGATCCCCAAATAGTTCCTCTTTCAGGCATAAATTAAAGAAATCACACCGGTTTGCTCACCAATGCCAACCTACAGTGTAAGTGCACATAACCGGTGTGGTTCTTGAACCTGTAGACAAGGGCTTAGGAACTACTTGGACTAAGTGACCGCATCTGCCACACACAAGCCTGAGTAGGTCGTAGTAATGTCACCTAACTGATGTCAAACAGAAGTATCAATGCAGCGCTTCCAACGGTCAGGGCTTTGTAACATCTAAAGGCCTGCTTCCTGGGGGTTGAACAACTGAGGTTTTCTCACTTCATGGGAAAAAAGGGTAGGGAGGAATGCTGACTTCAAGACAGGTGAAGAAGTACCTCTGCTAGGGTGTGTTCGCTGTGCAAATTAATTCCTCAGGATTTTTTTTTTCCAAATTCAGCTGAATTCTTGGCCTTCCTGTCTTTGCTTTCATAGCATTCTTCTGTACCCTTAATGCAAAACAAAAAGTTCTCTACACTTCTGCTAACATTTTGTTGCTCAACTTCGGTAGTTAGGTCTTTTTATTGGATAATTTATATCTCCTTAATTGATGGATGTTCCCTTTATTAAACTTTTCTATTTAATCAGCAGCTAAGTATTTCCTGCTACCAAAAATATCTCACACTGTGGGTCCTGTTCTACAAGGTATCATCCAATTTTCACAGTAATCGTTAACATTTTACAATCTTTGTCTCTTACTTACTTACCTCCCAGACACTTTAGGGTAAGGACAAGACTATTCCTAACATTAAAACTTCTCAGAAATTACAACAGAAAATAATTCCCCTTAAACAGTCAGGTGGACATACGATATATATATAAAAAAATAATCTAAAGTAAACATTTTGACATCAAAATTCAAAGAGTACAAGAAGTTGTAGAAGAAAATAAGGAGTGTGTTTAACTGCACGATGGAAGTGGCAAGACTGTCTATGCAGAAATAAAGGTAAACTTATTTCTAAAACTACAATGAAAACCAATCTATAATCTTTAGACTTCATATAATCTATAGGCCTCATATTTGATCTTAAGACTGGATAAAGCAGAAAAAAATAATCCTGAAACGTGGCAGGTATCAAATGCTTTATAATGTAATAGCTTAAACAGTACCCCCTGAAAATAAGGACAACAACTGCTTAAAATGAGACTACTTGGATAAAATATTAATCAGATCAAACAAAATTCAATTTTTGGAAAAATTTACAACCTCAAACTCAGACTACTGAAGAATTTAGCAGCATCTCTCAGGAGATTCCGGTGTAATGGAGTTCAAATGCACGTGGGATTTCTAGCTTCTGCTGCACTGGGAGGCAGAAGCAATTTGGCTTTATTGGCTTTAGTAGAGCACCAAGCCAGCTGTTATTAACGAAGCTGTCTGATGGGCTGAAACTCAGCCACGCATGAAAACCCAACAACAGATATTTCTGCGCTCCATGAAAGCTCTTTTTCAGTAACATCACCACATGACATTTAACTGTTTATAAGTAAGCTGGTAGTTAACTCACACAGCTGATTCCCCTGCAATTCTCACGTCACTGCGCTGAAGGTTTTAAACAGAAAGTATTTTCATTCTCTAACCAAAATGCAGTATGTTCAGTACCCTTACCCTGACTGGTCAGAGTTAATAAGCAATTCATTTAATTCCTGTACAGCAGACTAATGACCAGCTGACGATAACACATCCACTAAGCTTGTTGATTTTCTTCCATAAGGGCTGTTCACTTCAGAAGACTACATGCTGTGTTGCAAGAAGTCCTCCAAACATGACACTCATGTTTTTCTTTCATTTGCTGGCTCTAAACTCAACCGACAGTATGCTCATCTAATACAATACTTTGCCTTCAGGGAACTGGGAGGAAAAATTGGTCAAAGTGGAAGAGTCTTGAAAGTGAAAATAATTATGGGAAGTGACGAATTGGGTTCACAATACAGTCCTAAGAGATGTGGCTGCCCTGACTTTTCAAGCAATCTTGCTGAAGTGTATATGGCATGTACACCTAGTTGTATACACCAGCCCAATGGCCAGGAAAGGACTCAACCCAATAATCTCAAAATGGAAATGTGAGGTGCCCCACTACTTCTGACAGCTCACCACAGGACCAGAGATACCGACCCAGAAGTAAGTTAAGTAAGGGAGGGGCTTGCACCCTTTGGAAAGGCCAATGAAACATTGTTATCCTACCCTGAAAACCTTTATGGTCCAAGAAGGTACGGGTAGTTTTAGATTTTCAAGACTTCAGAAGTCTCATCTAAACAGCTTTAAAAGAACTTACTGAGGAGCTGAGAACTATCGGCACTCACATTTAATGAATTCTGCAATCCCCAGGGATGTGTTGGAAAATCAGGGTAGAAACAAAGAGGTACGTTTGAACTACCTGATTTGATGTCAGCTCTAAGGGGCACAAAAGAAAAGAGGCTGATGATTAGAGAGGTAATAATTAGGGGAAAAGAAGGATATCGCCTTTTAAATAATGCCAAGGCTGATGGGAACTAGCTCTTGTCAAGCTAGTTATCAAGATTCAAGATTAGAAGTTCAGCTGACAAAAGTAACCATTGCCTAAAGCTACAAGGAATTGCTAAAGGCATCTTCCTTTGTGCCTGGTGACATTCGTGGTGGTGGTGGGGGAAAGCGCAGGGGAAAAAAAAAGGCACAACAGAAGATCAACACAGCATACACCACATATAGCGAACTGGGACTCGAGTCATCCTGAGATCTCACTAGAATTTTTTCATGCCTGAATACTACTAAGAAGGAGGAAGCTTGATAATTCTTAGAAGACATGCCAGGGCATGCTACATGACACTCAGATTAGGCAGCAAACTGGGCTGGTGAAACTATAGATTTACCTTGAGCACACACCAACATGATTAATCAATACAGGCCTGTTCTGAAAGACAGTGAACCTGGAAGTCTTTGGGGTGGATCAAAAATTGCGCACAAACTGTTTAGAACATACATGGTTAAACAGCCTAAAACCATTATAATAAAGAATTTTGCCTGTATCATTATTTTCTATGAACAAAGCGAAGAAGTTGTCCCTTAGTTTTTGACCAACAAAGTGATGTGATGTATCGGAAGCGGTAGTGCACATGGCACAAACATGACCAACATCACTCATTCTAAGCCCCTGAAAACACCACTTATGGTAAGGAACCACCTCAGCTGCAACCCTGCTGCTGGCATTGTCTTCCTATATATCAGTTTTAGAATACTAGGGCCCAGAGACTATTTTACTACCTTATGTAAAATCCACATATTTCCTGCTTTGTTAATCTTATTTGAAGACTAGATTAGTGGAGTAACTGCAGATCTCTCTCATCAACATGCCCATCAGACTGAACTACAGACCAATTCCTTAGGAATTTTAAATCAGAGGAATGTGATTTCCAGCATAGTTATCAGCAAGAGGCAGATCTAGTGAAAATTAAGTGTAACTTGCCCCATCCATACCCTTCTGTGCTACTTTTCAGTGTCAACTAGTGTCATAACCACTATGAAAATAGCTAGGAGCATTGCACAGCTGAATGTGCAACTTTCCAACTTACTTGAAGTCTGAATTCTCAAGAAACAAAATGCTAAGTAAGCTAAAATTATGTATCATCACAAAGAAAACATCTTTTAAAAAGACAAGGAATTCTTAATGATGTACCAAAGCTCTTAACTAGTTCCACAGTTAAAGGCTGAGAAGGACAAAACATTCCTACTGTTCACTAGAAGACAACCAAGTACTTTAAGCTCACATACTTGAATTGACACACACACACACACACACAAGAAAAAGAGACATGCTTAAGGGGAGGCCAAATTGTTTTATTTAATTTTTTAGTAACCAATTGGATTTTTGGCAGAAAGCTCTGCTATTTCTGTTGTTGTCTTGGTGGGGTGGTTTTTTTTTTTTTTTTTTTTTTTTTTTTTTTTTTTTTTTTTTTTTTTTTTTACTTCTTTAAAGGAATCAGCAGTGCTCAAATTGATGGGTTGGAATTTTGGTCAAATTCCAGTTAATTTCAAGAACAAACAGATGAACAGGAATTCCAGATACCACTTCCAGAGCAGAGAGCAAAACTTCACATTTGTATGAAAATTCCATGTTTGGGTATCGACTGGGACACAGAATGTAAAACTATTGTCAGTAGTGCATGAACATTCACATTTGATCTGGAACCTTAAAATCAGAAAGCTGTACTCTCCTTCCAAAATTTTCATTACCTTGTGCAAATCAAGTCAAGTCTTCACGTGTCAAGCACACACTTAAAATTGTCCATATTTTATATACAAGACATCTACCATTCAGGCAGTGCAAAATACATCCTTTCATAACAAAACTAAAATGTACCTCTCAAAGTATGAACAAGAATATACACATAATACATGATATACACTATTTACACAACCATAAAAAATATAATACAAGATTTTTTTTTTTTGAATGTTGATTACAAGACTTGACAATCTTTTGCAAATTTAGTTGCAACAAGGTATGTTAAAAGTTTCCTGGATGGAGTTTTCTTTGCCAATTACTCAAAGAGGCCTTGGAAACTAGGCTTGAACTTTCAGGAGAGTTTTCAAGTGGACTGCCATCAGCTCCCGGTTTTGGTCAGACAGTTCAGATGAGCCACCCACCCAGTGGCTGGGGGGCTTTGGAAGGACACTGGGAGATGGCGGGTCACTGAATTTTGCCCCAGCGTAACTTTCTTTTTGGCTCGCTTCAGCTAGGGTGATTGGTTTCTTGGACTTGGCATTTCTGAAGTTCTCTGTGTTTTTAAGTGGCTTTTTCTCCTGCTTCTGAATCACTTCTGGCGACACAGAATCTTGCCAAAAGTTCTCTATCTTTTTTGCCGAGGTGATCTTTGTCAGCGGCACGTTACATTTACTCTTCTGCCTGTTAATCTTTGGTTGTTCACAGAGATGTAAACTGTGAACAGGCTGGCTGTAGGGGATGGCAGCCTTCTCAGTCTTTCCCATCTTGTTCTTTAAGAACTGCGAAGACAAAGAACTCGCGTCAAAGCGCCACCCCTCTCCTCAAGGGGTACCTCCCCACACAAAGCACCGCCGCC